TAGCATGATTACTGAACCATTATTAATCCAAAAAATAGCTAAAACATCATCTACCACTTTACAAAGGATATCCAACGATTCCCCATAAATATCAACTAGGAATTGTTACTCCACTAGCACTTTTTTTTTTGTTTTTTACTGATGATCAATTACAGAAAATGGTTGAAAATACCAATATATATGAAATGGTAAAAGGTAGAGAGGGTGGTCATGACTAGAAGCCGTTGACTCTAAATAAACTGAAAATTTGATTTGGTTTAATTATTGACATGAGTGTTCATCAAATTGGTATTGTGGAAGATTTATGGAATCGAGATGAAAAAAAAGCACACATGAGATTAGAAGATTTATGAATATGGTTAGGTTTCAACAAATAAAATGATTTTTTCATATTTTATCCCCAGGTGAATTGCAATATTTTTTGTATTCTAAAGTAGAACCATTGGCATCATATATTTAGAAGATAGTTAAGAAGTATTATATTCCTGGTTCAAACGTTTCTGTTGATGAGATGATTGTGGACAAAGTGCTCACACAGTGAGAATAAAAAATAAACCAACCCCAGAAGGTTACAAAATTATTTCACTTTGCGATCGTGAATATACTTGGGCATTTTTGTTTACATTACATGTTGAAAAAAATACAACAGTAAAATGTATTCCAGGCCTTAATAATACTGGGTGTATGGTTGCATATTTGGTTTGTAAGCTTCTTCACAATAAAACATACCATGTCTATATGGACAATTACTTCTCTAGCATATCGCTCTTTAAATATTTATGTGAGAATGATATTGGTGCCTGTGGCACAGTTCATACAAATTCAGCTAGATTTCCTAAAGAATTAAAAATTAATAAAACTTTAGATTGGAACATGCCTTTAGGTAAAGTAGTAGATGATGTTTTAGCTATTTTTTGGATTAATAATGGTTCAGTAATCATGCTATCTACAATTTATGAAATTTCTGGTGATAATTCAAAAGTTATTCATAATCAGTGATGGCTATGTGAAACAAGTTCTAATGCAAGTACTGTATATCATGTTTTTGGAGATGCATATTATAAAAAATTGAAAATTCCATGGATAATTTATGACTATGACCACTATATGGGTGGTGTTGATATTACAGATCAATTTCGCAGATATTACAATTGTCAACCGACTATTAGATGTACATGAATTCCCTTATTTTTTTGGCTTTTGGATACCATACTTGTAAATTGTGTACTGATTTATTGTAAAGTTACTAACTTAAATATCTCAAGTAAAGATTTCAGACTTAATTTGGTATGGACCTGGTTAAAGCTACCTTAAATAATGAAAAAAAAAATGTCTTATAAGAAAATATCATCCCAAGCTTCTTCAAAGTGAAAGTGAGTGGTTCATGTAACCAAAAATTTTAAATTACCCTTAACATGGTTATTAGATAATGATTATTTAGTAGAATGGAGAAAAAAAAGAGAAGCTTGTATCTATTGTCATTATTTAGCACAATGTGGAGACAAAGCAGTTAATTATGATAATTCTCTGCAAAGCAGTTTATAGTGCTATAAATGTAATGTGTCATTATGTTTCTCTAAAACAAGACTGAATTGTTTTAAAGACTTTCATTCTAAAAATTAAAAAGCATAGGGTCTGCAATTTTTTTTTTTTTATTACATAAACATTTTTTTTATTATATAGTGATTTTCTTGATTACATAATTTTATGTCATGAATCACTTTCAACTTTAGCATTTGCTTCTCGAATCGTAATTCTCAACACTTTTCATACCTCAACTAAATGCGGTGACATTTTGAATTTATTTTGCTTACCATTATGTAGTATGTATTAAAGGCAAAATAGGAATAAATAATATAGAAATAAATAAATGAATAAGGCAAAAAAAATAAATAAACAAAAAATAAATAAGGCAAAAAAAATAAATAAAATAAAATAAATAGAGTAAAAAAAGAGACAGACAAATTAATAAAATTCTGAATTTTTATGCTGTTTAAATAATAAACTAATAAATACAATGAATTCCAAGATTTAATAACATTATTAGGTTCTTATTTTAGTTTTAGCACTGGTTCAACTATATCTGATATCGACATGTCAAATTTGAAACGTACGTATGTACATATATACATTTATGATAAATGAACACTTGTTTTGCAAGCTATTACGTGTGCCCATAACTTGTGCAGAACATAAGCTATGATATAAATAATGATTTTTGGGCAAGTATACAAGGTTTGGGCAATATTGTGCAACAGTACAAATAACAAAAATTTTCTAGGCAAATTTGCCTAGAAATGATCTACAGATTAAGGGATAATATATTATATAACTAATATAATAGTTTAAATTTTAAATTATATAAAATTTTTAATAATTTTAAATATTTTTACTTAGTATTTTTAATTTTAATTATTTAATATATTTTAAAAATAAAAATCTATAATGCTAAATATCTATAGTACAGAATAGTAAAACTAAAAAAAATATTTAAAATTTTTTTTTTAAAAAAAAACTTTAAAACTTTATTTTTATTTTATTTTAAAATTAATTTGTTTATAGCTATAATAAATTCAACAAACTTTTTTTTATTTTAATTATAGAAATGTGTAAAATTTGAAAAAATAAAATTTATCAAATTTAGTCAAGTAGATATCAAGATATTTTTGGTCAAAGTTTTACAATCTGCAATATAGCTTCTATTTGATAGATATTAAATTTACAATACTTTGATTAAAGATATCTCAACAACTACCTAATCAAATTTAACAAGCTTTTTTTTTATTTTAAATGTAGAAACTAGTGGAACTAAAAGAAAAAGTTTGTCAAGTGTAGTTAGGTAAATGTCAAGATATCTTCAATCAAATTTAAAAAAAATATAAAAATTAGAATTATTAATAATTTGGTATTATTAAAAAAGAATGTAGAAATATCAATTTTCTTAATTAATACTTATATTTTATACACTAGTATAGATTTAAAGATTTTTAATATTAATATAGTTTTTTTATTTAAAAAAATTTGTAGCTACTATTAAGAAATTTTTTTTGTCTTATAACTATGCAAATATTTAATAAATTAAATATATATAATTTTATATACAACTTTTTTTTTTATTTTTTTTTTTTTTATTAATATAATGTTATATTTTTTTTTTTTTTTCGGTATTAAGGTGATCTCTTTGGCCTGGGGAACTTTTTATTAGAGATAGATGAAGTTTTATATGTAATTACAACGATGGTACATCAAGCCACACGTGCACCTTTTGAGTGCCTATTTAAGTA